ATGGGTGACTTGACAATAGCATGAATGATTTGGGTAATTAGATGGCGGTTTGGTGATGTGCTCTCAGATAAACCGAAAAATAGACATGGAGGAGGACAACTTGCAAATTCAATCTCAACTGAGCTTTAATTACATACGCATACGCAACGCACACGCACACGCTCGCACGCACGCACATATAACGCAACGGTTGGTGATAAGGTTTTGATTATGGTTTTAGTCGCAAGAAGGTGAACAGAGAAGCAGTGTCGAGATTATATAAGTGGAAGTGGGGGGGGGGGGAGAGGGGTTTGAACCGGTTGCTCACATTAATTTAACATTGGGTAGGCGTGATTGGTAAGGGGAGATTTTATTGCCTCCTTCATCTACTTCTACTGTCTCCCTTGGGGAAACATTCGAAGGTTTAATTAAACTTGACTTAATCACCTAAGCACATGTACACAGCAATCTTGATCACCCTCTCCATCGTCCACATTATTCTCCCCCTTGCGGTAATTGCAATCAAAATTATCTTTCCATTCAACCAGTTTGACGATAATCACTAATTTCCTCTCCTTTCTGAACCCTTGGAGACTCCATAATTAGTTTGACTAATGCTTTTTCATCAGCCCTCTCTTGATCAGCAGCTAATGGAGTTTGAATCGAATTTAATTCAGGGCAAAAGGTAAAAGTGTAGGGGAAAATTGAATTTTTTAAATTTTCATTAGAATACAAGTTTCCCGTACGCAAGTGTTCCACTTAAATAGGAAGATAAGCAACCTCCATATATTCCTTTTCGTCTCATTTTATTTTTTAATGCTTAATTCTATATGATTGCCATGAATATGTAACAATATTTACAGTGTTTGATGCACTCAATATTCATTTTAAAGTGAATAAGATAGTGATGTTAAACAATAAATTCCCATAACAAATGTTGTCGTTAAAAACGTTCTTCAGTTTTTGTCCGGATGCCTTAATTGATCTTTTATTGGCTGATGTACGGAGAATTAAGAAGTTATACAGAATAAATACCGTGATATGGAATATACTTAGGTATAAAAATTGACTTTTGATTTTTTATCCTCATATAATGCAAGCAATTTAATTAACTTTAACAAAAAATAACTAATTGGATTTTTAGTGATATTAAACGAAAGCGATATAAAGAAGATTCAAAAATTTCACTAGAAGCATTGTTGAATGTCGTCAACTTTCTACATTTGGATTGTGGACTCAGCAAAAAGTTAAATTACTACTTATGTAAAATAAGTACATAAGTCTAAGCCTTTTCGCTTCCAAGGCTCTAAATCTTTCGTTTGTTGTCATGGTTATTTGACAACGACCAGCCCATATAGCAGAGTTTATTTGACTGTTCTAATTCAAGAGTTTATTAAGTTCCGTATAGATGTAGGGATCTCCAAAATCCCGATTTAATTTACTTTTCAATTTAATTTAGTTAAAAGGCTCCCCCCACACCTCGATATTCACTTGGCAAGCAACAGATTTTATGGTTTTGTTATAATTTACAAGGTGATTAAAGGTAGAAAGAAAATACCTTTGTAACATGTGAAAAATCAGATACCAGTTAAATTTCAAAATATCTATTCAACATTATTATGGTATCTTGATTTCATTAAAACTGATCTAAGCTGAATCATGATAAGCTGAATTTATTGACAATTAAAAATAGGCTTCTGGGAAGTTCCAAAATGAAAGCCAGCACGGGTATTCAATGGGCTCGATTTAATGTTAGTGAATAAATTGCTCCTAATGTTCAATTTTTTGAGGGAAATCACTGTTAGCTCTAGAAACATTGGAGGCAACGTAGTTGTCGATTCGTTACTTTTATCAGGCATGTTTCACATCGGTGAATGATTCAAAATTGCAGTTACTTTCACGAAGCTTTCTAGTAATTGCGAAAAAGTGAGATGGCCAAAGTTAGATCAATACGGGTAAGAAACAGTGTTTCATGATTTCCTTAACTTTATCAAGTTCCTTAAAGTCGAGATGCTTCATTCATAAAGTTTGTATTATTTGGCCTGGTTGGTCAACATTCAAGGTCACAACCATTATTGTGTGTAGGAACCAATCCGCGTGAGCAAAATTAATGTTGGAAACGTATGTTTTGCGCTAATTCAATTCTCAATAAAATCGAGAAACTTTATGAATTTCAGTAAACCATTTTAAATAGGACTGGAAAGTTCTGAGTTAAGTACAATGTCCCCATAACTGAACAAACATTAATTAAGTCGTTACCTCGGTCATCAAGTTACTATGACAAATGAGGATACAGAGTTAACTTATGTAGTTGAGAGAAAGAGAACAGAACTCGTGCAGCGAAAAGAAACTTTAAGTTAGGCGCCTATGAGTTAGTGGTATAACATTAAAAATTGTTTGGTACAAATAAAATAGGGTGGCATCAACTATCTCTTGTGAGACATTAGCTGCTAATGCGAAATTACAATCATGAAAAAATGTAAAAATATAGGAAAGATAAAGATAAATTCTGGCAGACTGCTCACCTCAACGCACAAAAAGTGATAGAGCTCGATAATAAGATCGAGGGCTCTAGTTATGCATCTTCCCACGATAATTTCGACGGCCAGTTTTCCGACACGAATTCGCCTTTCTTCTAAAGACTAAGACATCATGAAGAGCAGAAGCTGAACTTATTACATTTTCAACTTAATACAGTAGAACCGGGAGAGAGAGAGAGAGTTAAATTAATCATTAACTCTAATTAAGATGAAATTGAGGAGGCGGGGGTGGGCTATATTGATTTAGTAACAGAAAGGATTTATCTTATAATTTAATGGTTTTAAGGTGAAGTGTCCTCCGGTGACCTAAAGACAATTAAGGAAAGTACCAACTCGAGGTTATATTCTCACCCGAGCTCTAATCACTCAAGATGCAACAGTAGGGGGGAAGTCTCTGATTCTAATTTAACTCACAATAAGGCGAAGGGGTGTAATGAGGTGAGGTTAAGTTGGTTTGTAGGAGGGGGGGGGGGGGGGGGGGGGGGGGGGGGGGGGGGGGGGNGGGAGAGGGAGGAGGGGGAGAGGGAGGAGGGGGAGAGGGGTGGATCTTACTGTCTTTTTACTCCTCTGGGAAATATTTAGAGGCTTAATTAAACTTAGCTTCACTCCCCAAAGTACTTAAACAAGGACATCATGATCTCTCCCTCCTGCCATAATTCAATCTTTCTGTTCTTTCAACCAGTTTGCAATTACCACCATTTCTTCCATTCTTAAGGCCATCGAGATACGATAATGGGTATACCAGCAATTCTTCACCATTAGCAATTAATGGCATTTTTCCAGTAAGTAAAGAAGTAAATGTAGATCGATAAAAAATCAGTAGGTGGAAGTAAAATCGGTAAACTTGATTGGTAGGCAAAAGATGGGATTCTGTCTGGTATATCATTGCACATTTTGCCCCGCCCTCTAATAAGTAGCCGCCAAATTCGTAACGCTTTCTCGCATGGAAGTAGTCAAGTCGAAATACTACTTTTATGGCAACTAACTCGAAGACAAATTGCTCTAGCATATACACTGTAATCGCAGAATGGGAAACGCTGGCTTAGTAGTTGAATTCTCACAGTTCGCTTTCCACTTCTGCTGCAAGGTAGGAGGCCGACAGTGAGTAGTAAAATGAATCATTTGAAGCGCAACAAACAAAAAGGCATTCCTGTAATCAGTAAGCCCCGAAAGTTTCTAAGTTGCAGCGCAGAACTCAGTTTTTGAAGTGGGGGGGGGGGGAGGGAAGTAGATAAGTTAAAATAGACCGTCTTGAAATAAAATACCGACACGAATAGGAGATTATTTGCTCTGGATGCAAGTGCTACTGATGTGACTGCTGTAAGTTTACAAAGAATCCAATTTTCACTCATTTTCATATAGCTGTCACCAAATAAAGAGAAAGACAAATTATTTCTCGATAAGTAATTCCTGGAGGATGGGGTGTGCGATAGACTTACCTTCACGTGGTGCACCCTGGGCAACGTATATTCATACGGCAAAAAAGTCCATAAACCGGCACTCGACTTCAGACTACCATCACCCCACTGTATATCATATTCTACCATTTCCACAGTACTCATTCTACCTTTTCTCTGACTTTGTGTCTGTCTCTTTTACATCTGTAAATCACTTTTCTGTTCCCCACCTCTCGAATTTCTGTTACATTGACGTTTCTTCCCCCTGTGAAGCCCGAAGCCAGCTAAAGGGCTGATTATAACTATCAAAACGCCTGCCATTTGAAATAAGTAAAATTCCTGGAGCTCAGTTTGCCAGATCATTCACTTTTCTTCGTCGGTTCAGTTTCACTGGGGCCTAAGTTAGTCAATAATGTGCGTCTCGCTACATTACTGGTAGGCATTTTGAAGGGGAGAGTGGGGAGGTTGGGGTTATTGAGTAAACTGTAGTGGCGCTCTGAGCTGGACCTCTACATGCCGATGTTTAATACAAATAAGTGTTAAAAAACTGATAACTTCTCATGCTTGCAGGTATTTCCATTTTCACTTTCAACCAACTATGAGCCTATTTCATTAAGGAAGTAATGAGGAATAAACTAGTGTCCACAAATCTCTTATCGTCCTACTTATATAAATGTTCTTCTAAAATATTCCTGACGGTTGAAAAAATTGATTGCGCTTTAGTTAAAAAGCTTAATTCGTGCTTAATTAATGATTACCTTAGCAACCACATAAATCCCCTCGATAAAAATAGTCAAACTATAAACTTCAGGTACATTGCTGATGCCGTGTCTTTCATTTCGCTTAAAAACTATCAAATATTAACTTCCTAATATCATAAATGACTTAAGCTCCCAAATTACCTTCAAGCCCAACAATTTTCATTAAATAACAATGAAAGTACACTTCTGTCAATGCATTTTGAAATAATAAGAGAATACGCTCCATAACTTGTGCGAGTTTCCAGTAGTTTTCGGTAAGGAACACGGGATAACATAAAATAAATAAGAAGTTGGGGGGCAATATTGAAGAGAATAGAGTGGCTTTAATCTGTCTTTTTGTGGAACTGCTCGTAGCGTTGCATTGCGGCCTCAGCAGCTTTTCGTCTCGGCTCCTGAAAGTAAAAGAGAAGACGTTCTACCTACGGAAAATAAGTGGCAAAGTTTAAGCAATTCCACACATTACATCAGATGATTCGTGATTTAACATTTCATCTCCTTTGTCATTCGTAGAATGCAAATCGTCAGTACAAATGCTAATGCCTTCGTTTGCCCCAGCTGAAGGTTCGATAGAACTAGAAGCCGAAAGAGTTTCTCCACTGTGAGTTGGGATTTGTTCAGGAATATTTGAGGTTATTCTTAGTTTTGCCTGAGTCGTACTATTTGAATTTATCGCTCTTTCAAATTCTGTATTTGCTGTACGACGACTCCTCGCTAATTCAAGACGCAGAATGCTTGCACGATTGTGCTTCACAACCACTGAAGGCTGTATGTTCTGTAATTGCTTTAGAAAAAAATAAGGAATTCAATATATAATAAATATACAAAAAAATAAGCGAAAGAGATGCAACAGATTATTAAAACAGACAAACAGATACAGCCACTAAAAATGACCAAAAAAGACACGTAAATATCTTTTTTTGATAAAATATAAGAAAAAAGGAAGATATCAACATCAATGCCACAATGAGTGGGTGATGGGATTTGTGCATCATAGAGCCTACCTTATGAAAACCTCGGGTACTGCTACTCTCTTTACTAGCCACCCAGAGTTAGTGCAGTCTGAAATTGCGTACAATATCTAAGCACTGGTGATCACCGACCCCTTGACCTCTAGCTTCGCCGTTAACCCAGTTTCAGCTCGCATTTTTATTAAGCAAAAATACTAAACTTTATCATTTAACTCTCAAACTCTAACACATTCATTAATTGTCACATAGCAACTTTGCTCGTGACCTATGTCTATAAAAATATTAAACATGCATTTGCTTTATGCGTTTATTCATCATTATTAATTATTGGTTTCAGAGATGCAGATTGCTTTAGGCATTATTACCACACCACTGTGTCTGCACCAGTAAGTATCCATTTCGAGACCACTGACTTGGCTAATGCGTATTTTGACCATCACGTGTCAAGTATAAATAAGTTTTGTTCATTTCTAAATGTATTTATGGTTTCATTTAAGACCTATTGAAGGAAACAGAATTGGAACGTACAGACGATGAAAACGAGGACGATGGTAAATTAACGCTCGATTGCGAGCGTCTACGAGTGCTTTGGCTTTCTTTACTCGAAAGTAGAAGGCGCAGAGCGTTTACCACATGTTTTCGACACTTGGGACACGTCTCCGCGTTGGCCAACCACTTGTCAACGCACTCCCGATGGAAAACGTGACCACAGGGGAGATGGCGTACCTTTTGTCCAGTCCTGTAGTCACCTTTGTGAACAAAACACGAAGAGGTAATTAAGTGACAAAATAAGTTTCCAACTGATTGTCGATGGCAACGAAGTCCAAAAAGATGTTTATTAAGACACATCACATAGATGAGGTAAGGTATGAGAAAAGCAAAAGTGGTATGAAACTGTTGAAGACGGAACTAATGAACAAGAAATGTGAAAATTGCTAAGTAAGATAGGAAGCAACCATATAGAGAGCATGGTAACATCGCTTCACCTTTATAAAGAACCATAAAACATAGTATTTGTTCTGATCTAATTAATTCTTACTGTTCAATCATGGCTCACTTTTCCCATCGGCCTATGCTCTGCGGTAGTATCAGACTATGTACAGTCGAGTACGTTCACGCATGCTAGATCGGTTTATGGCTTACTTCCACTGTGCACTGCGGCTTATGCTATGTACTCATAAAATGTGTAGACAAACGCTTAAAGATGCATCGTTTTATGACTGTAGTGGTGTACATTTAATACTTTAATTATCCTTTTTCACTAAAGACGACTTTATTGATTTTTAACCCCCCCCCCAAATAGAAATTATCAGCTTAACTTCAAACCACTTCATTGCTAACATCGTTTACTTTTTACATCACCAATATCATTGTCCAATCACAGTTCGCCAATAGAAAAAAATAACAGGGGTCAAATTATGCGATATTCACAATCGCAACCTCAAGTCAAATAATGCATTAAGTCTTCAGAATTATCATAGTGAATATACTATAATGCAGATGTTAAATTGAAAAATTTGAAAAACTATGCATGAAATAAGTTCAACTACCGAATTGACTATCGTTATACAGTTCATGTACTCTGGTTTTGTTTGAACCCAGTCCATGTTAAAGAAAAACTATGAGGAATAGAACATTTAAATCAGCAGGGGTAATAGATACACCTACTAGATTGTACCTCATTCAAATCCCAAGAAACTGATTTTTATATAATAGTCAGCGTGAACTTGCAATTAAACAATCGCTCATGTATTTATTTGAAGAATAAATAACTTACAAAGGCAGATATTGCATTCCAGTTTGTGATCATCGCCTTTGATAGAAATTGGTTGAGAGGGTATCAAGGTCCGCAGCTTTTGATCATATTTACGATCAGGAAAAAAATCGTATTGATGTAAAAAGTCATTTATCGATTCCAAATTTTCGGCCGGAGCAGGCAAATTGCTGAAATATAATGATAGTATTATTAGAAGCGTCAGTGAACAAAAACGTAAATCAAGCGTTCTTTCAAAATACCAAGCTGGAGAAGCTTTTTTAATTAATTCCTTTTTAATCCAAATGGTAGATACAGGAAGAGAATTTATACAATGAATAGCTCGACAAGCTGGAGAATATGAAGAAGTTAATGGAGGAGTACACGGCCTCCGAATGTTTGCATCAATTCCTTGCAACCTTCTTCTTATTCGGTTATTATTTCCACGTTCACTAACATTAATAAGAACATCATGACCAGAATGAGCTATCCTTAAGTTTATATTTACAGTATTTAGAAAATATTTTAAAATACCTTTGGATAAAATTTGATCTTATAGAGATTATCATGCCATATGAACTTTCCGGTGGATTAATAAAATGTGGTAGAAAAAAATCTTCAAAATGTGGAAACATTTTATCCACACGATAATTTATAAAAGAAATCTAGTTGCCGGCCACAAATATGATTATTTAAACTATTAGTATCAAACAGTCAACAATATAAACTATATTTAGTTGGTTTTCAAGATTTAATAATTATAATTTTTTAAATAGTCACGGTATGGGATTGACAAGGATCAAGTCTATTTGCTGTGAAGTAAAACGTTTTGAGATCCCAAATTAATTATTTGTATAAATGTTACACCTGCCAAAGAAGATTTCTTAAGTAAGTGAAATAAACATTCGTCAAGTATCATAAGCATTTAAGGTATTGCAGAATAATTTTCAGTTTATTATTACTATTATTGCTATTATGCGAATTTCATAAAATTTAATTTTTTTGTATTGATATTTTTACAATCTGAAACCAATAGATTTATATATCTCTGATTTTAAAAAATATAGCTCCAATCTGTTCAAAATGCATATTTATTCATAAAAATGTAGAATAGATATCAAGTGATTTTAATTCAGAAGCTAAGTTACGAGTTAAAGTTCTGGCCATCTAAAAAACCATGAAGTAGGTGAAATATTAACTAATTGGACTTATTCCTAGCCTCGAGAACTCAAATGAAACTAGCCCAACGGGCAATTTGAATGGTAAGATCGTATTGATACTAGCGTTTTTTAGATTTAAATTCTGAGAGTTCAAAAGATTTAAACACGCGTTTGTCTGAACTACGCGCACCGGCTGATTGTGCAATATGTCTGAGTAAATAATACCTGTCTACTGCCTTTTAATAATTTTATAATCATAAAATTGGACTATCTTCACACAATACCATCTAATAATGAACTATGTCACTTTATATTTTTACCCTAGACAGTTTATTACCCTCTGATAATCTTGAAGTTTTAAATTGCGCTCATACCTTTCATTCGGAATGCATTTTACAATGGATATTAAACAACAGATCTTGCCCTATTTGTCGGACTACGGTTCAATTATCGTTAGAAGGGGGCGATCAACGAAATACTAGAAGACAAATTCGCATAAATATACGTAGCAACTTAACAACAACAGTCCAAATTACTGATATTGTTAGTCATCAATGCTTTTATTAATTTTAAAACCCTTAAACGATAGATTATATTTATTTTTGTGCACTTTAGGATGGCGTTTCATATAGAGAAACGCGGAGTTCTATTCTGAGACGCCGCTGCGCAACTCAGAGAAGACAGCATTCGGTTGAAAGTCTGGTAATCATTGCTAAGCTTTTTATATTCTTACCTGACCATCACAAAATAATTTATTTTTATATTATTAAGCATTATCCTTCAGATTCAACAGTTGCTAACCATCGAAACTTGAGAGTGGAGATACGGAGGCCAACGAACAGAAATCATACAGTCGACAGCACAGATAGTGATCAAAGTAATAGACCGTTAGAGGTAATTTGATTTCATTCTGTATTTAAAGTAGTTTCGAAATCATTTTGACTAAATGGCCAATTATAGTAAGTCAGCTACTTCAGTAAGCAGTTTATAATTGAGAAAGCAACAAATAGTTCGATAATATGTTGAATTTGAATTTCCAAGCATTACTAAATTTTCGTTTTAGGCTTGAAAGCCCACGTAGAGTATATAGAAAAAAGTAAAAAAATCAGTTGCAAGAATTGACAGTATAATCTCAAATAATTAATACTCGTGGATTTTGTGCAAATATTTAAATTGTTAGCAACCTTATATTTACTTCTACTTTGATTACAGCTTCGCAAAATAGACTTAAATAAATAATACTCTCAAAGAGCATTATATATCTGATTATATAGGCTGTAGAACCACGCATGAGGGCCGTTGCTGCCGCGATAGATCGCTACAATCATGGAACTTCACAATGCTGATTGATAAATAATCTTGAATTTAACCACCTATTTGTCGGCTATCTTTGACTAATATAAGCTAACTTTTAAAACACCTTATCTTTAGTTTTTAAATTTTAAATTGATTTATTGGTTTATCTAAATAATTAAACTGGAATTAATTTGACCAACTGCTTTAAAACTAAAAAATAATGGATATTGGGGTGTATGAAGTTTTATTCAGACAAATATATAATTGTTAATCACATATCTAAAGTGTAAATGAATTAGTACAATATTAATGCATTAAATCTGGGTAATAAAGAGGTGCTTATATTAATGCAACAAAAATTACGAATTATCCAGTTAGGAAATAAGTTACGTTTCTGTGTTGTGCAATAGGCTTGCCTCCACGTGGTGTACCCTGGGTGACGTACACTTATAGCACGAAAAATTCCATAAACCAGGAATTGACTTCCAACTATCGCAAATCGACTGTATGTCATTCGACAACTTCCACAGTACTTACCTTACCTTTTTCTCCAACCCTTCTTTCCTCTTTTCCCCTCTCGGCTTTTGTGACCTTAATGTTCCTCCCATCTGTGAAGTCCGAAGTCAATTAAAGAGCTAATGACACTATCATAAAGCCTGTCAATTGATATAGATAAATAAATATCGGAGAATTGTGATCAAGACGTATGGAATGATAGAGGAAGATAAATCAAGAGAAAGAGACATAAGAATAGTGTTTTGAAATCCACAATTGGTTGTTCTTCCAATTATTGAGAAAATATTAATCCCAGAAGTGGAAATATTGATAGACTTCAGAGAGAGAGTTTAAAATTATACACTCCGCATAGTAAAAAACACATTATAATTACAATATTTAGTAATGAAAATTTCATTGAAATAATACGAAGATGCATAAACAAGTGTTTTTTTACAGTCAATGTGTTAATGACAATATAATATTAAAATATATAAATTAGCGTTAGAAATTGATATTCTATTAAAATTGAACTTAATTTCGTATTAATTGTAAATTTAAATATTTATGATTCAAAAATATTTGTTTGTATTTCCTAATTACATTAACTTTAAAATGAATGGGTAGGACCCCATTACAAAATCAGACCCCGTTTTCTATTTGTTGCTGAGGCTATTTGGTCATATACCTATATTTGATGAACCCTTAGTACTTACCCGAGTACATTTTGTCCTTTGTAAAATGTCTAGCAACTAAACCTCAGATGTATATAAATGATGCGATTGTCATTCAAATTTGCATATAATGTCTTCTATTTCTCAAGTAAAATTGTTTTTCACCTTATATTCTTAGTATTTTTGCTGTTAATTGCATTTACAGATGATGCAGCTTCTCAAGAACCTGTGCCTTGCGCACGTAAGAATAATTTCGTGAATGCTTTTTAGAGTAATTATAATTTTATCAAAGAATTTACGCTATTTATCATACTTTTAACAATTTAGCCCGAAAGATATCATGTCTATTTTGCAATTCTTCGAAGCTGAAAGGATGCGAGGATCCATTTCCTAAGCGTGACATGTATTTACCGAATTTGCCAACGGTTGACTGTTATGAGGACTGTTTCAAGTGGCTTTATATAGATTTTCGTATGTACTGCCTTTGCGATCAATATTTAGCCATAATTTTATCATTTATTACGAAATTTAAATTGTAGCACGAATCTCATTTATGTTAAACAGACTAAAATTTTTCTCAGATTCATTTTACTTCGTGCTTATATTTTTATTATTCCTGTAATTTGATTAATTATTATCTCAAGTTGCTAGTGGTCTGTTTTCCCCGTTAGAACTAAAAAGATCCCCAGAAAAAATTTGACGAACAAATGCACTGTGTAAGGTTTTTACTAACTAATTTTATAAAACCGGGGCATTTTGGTATTATGTGGCAAATATTTAAATATAATGATTTGGGTGAGGTACATAACTAATAATGGAACAATTAATTTGTCAAATTCACCCTAACAGTTAAATTAGCATTTAGTCAAGTTTATGAATATGGTTACGACTTCATTGCTTTATTTACTGGTACTTTGGGCTGATACTTTCTTACTCCCTTTAACTGACAGTTTATTTCTACATAATCCATTACCCCATTTCTTCTTTAAATTGCCTTTCCACAGACTTATAATATTTTGTCGCTGTCATCAAAGAGAATGATCTATTAATTCTAGTAATAAAGGCTTTTGAAATAATAATGCATGGATTTAAATTTTGCAGTTTGTAAATATGGAGTGTGCTGAAATAAGAATATATCTTTTTTGAAGTTATAATATAAACCAGAGGCTGAATTCAATTTCGTGTCGCTTTATTTCTATCATCTTCATGATGAGTGAGAAGTCCATTTCTATTGGAGAATAGTTTCCAAAGCGATTGTGCTTATTTTCACGAATGGGCTCGGGACATTAGTCTAAAGATATGTTCCTTTCACACCGAAAACACCATCTATTGTTGAGATTCCGCTCTCATATCTCAAAAGTTCACTTTGAAATCGCTTCACACTACTCCTCATAGGTAGAAGGGTAGTCGAGTGGAGGGTCCCTTGGGGGAAATCTGAATTTCCTGTCACCTTTCATTAACCAAACGCGACTATTGTGGCTGGTCATTCCGCTTAATACATTCAATATTCCTAATTACTACTCCAAAGTTCATCCAAATTGTCAAAGTTTTCGGATTTATTCCCTATGAATGAATCTGTAGTAGGATGTGAGCGCAGACAAAAGGTGGCTATATGTATGTCAACAATTGTACTCTTCCACCTTCCACGTCTCATGGAGAAGACAAAATATGATTGTCAGTCCCTTATTTTACGGCCAACACGTCTCCCAATGTAGATTTTACATTTGAACTCCTAAGTTCTTAACGCGATGGACTTTAATGTCGAGGATGATACTAATCACTGTGCCAATACCACAAGGCAAACCAGTAAATGGACAGAAAAAAAGCTCTTTTTAAGACCTTTTCAGGGAAATTGTAAAATTATCTTGGCCCAGGTTCCGGTGCATGATTGTGGCAGTAATGAGGGGAGGGGGGGGGGAGAAGTGGCTTTTCTGTTAAGTACAACAAATTACCAATAGGGTAATCTCCTTGTCCAGTGAATTGCTTCTAAATATTTTTAATTTATAGTTACAAACCGCTTCATTTTTCTCTGTTAAGATAGTCGAATTTATCCCAAACACTTCATGTTTGTATGTGTAAATCAGTTTCGGTTGTTCATGTTCAGAACGCATGCGTCTGGACATTAGACCTTTATCATGAAATCACTTATGGGGCTTATCAATCTTATCTATTCTTTATGCCTCTTCTCATTTATAGAACAAAAGCACCAGCTGATACGCGGTTGTTCTTCCCAGCTCTACCTAAAGATTGACCGTCATCTGATCTGCATGCATGAATCAAAGGGTCGAGGGGGATACATTTGTTTTTGTTCCTCTGAGAGATGTAATCATGCCCGTGGATGGCCTAAAGGTCTATCAAAATTGTCCCTTGTATTCCTAATAACAGCCGCGTCTCTATTTAGCCGGAGCTTCTTACTTTAGCGCCTGCTCGAATCTAAATCCCTCCCCTTTTCAGCCACCTCACTGGTTGCTTTTACTGAGGTTTCCTCTTTGGCCTTCATCTCTACGTAGAATGTGTGTGTGTGTGTATGTAGCACTTATCTGAATGGAGATTTTTCTTTGACGTCTCATTTTACCTTTCTTTTTTTCTCAATATTTTTTGTTAATGCCTGTGCATTGGTGTCGAGTGTGCTATTATCCATTGGGTTGTGACTGTTTTTTTTGTCACTCGAGGCATAATATTTTAAAATTTAGAAGTTGTCGTAGAACTCACTTGGGACATCCTATTAAAAAGTTGGAACTACTCCTATCTTAGGAAGAAGATCTGCATCTCAAACAACTTCTTATGAATAAAATGGATTTGATTAAGTAAATCGGACAAACCAAAAATTGGAGCGTCAATTGCTTCAGTGGCGGCCTTAAATATTCCAGTTTACGAGAGGTGGAGCTAATAAGATTCACTCCTAACAGATTAAGTAATCATTGCTATGGCAAACTTAGCTCCCACTGATGTAGCCCTATAAAGTTGCTCATTTATTCTAGGCTATCAACCTAGAAATGGCTGAAAAGAAGACACGTAGAGTTGAGATTAGATTCCCTTACCTGCTTGAAGAAAGTACAGCCGTTTTTATAAAGCTAAGACGTAGGGTATAGATTGGCTACCTGGTTAACTTTTAACATTTGAAACCCGGTTTTCGATTACAAACACAGAAGAAGAATCACGAAAAAAAGTACTATTACCTGAGGGCATTTGATGACAGACGTGAGGTTTGCTTTAACACTACAAGAAGGTTGATCTTAGGATTATCTTCTTGAAGAACCATGATATGCAAATAAGTTTTCAAAAAATTCTTAAAAATTTCATGATCAAGCTTCGACGAAAGGATATCGCCTTTGGTTGTCAACGCAAAGTAGATCCAGCTACCTCATCTTAAAGAATCGAAGAGTAAGCTTACTCAACGCCATGGAAACGACACAAGTGAAACTTTTGAATTGATCCTGTCGCCATTGTAAAAACGGTAGTAAATTCTTATTCCTGTTCATAATAACGAAAAGTTCCCTCTCAAGAAAATTAAAAAAAATGGTGAAATGTAAGACTACCAATTGTTTTTGATCATTCAGAGAAATGAAAATAGTTCTCATGCAATACCGGCTTAATTATCGATCCTTGTAAACCTTTGTGATGCTTGTAAGAGGTTTGCAAGTGCTATTAGAGGTGATGATGACCAATTATTTCAAATGGCAGGCGTTTTGATAATTATTATTAGCCCTTTAGCTGACTTCGTACTTCACAGAGGGGTGAAACATCAAAGTGAGAAAAATATGAGAGGGACGGAAGGGTGATTCACAGATGTAAGAGAGACAGACAGACAGACACAGAGGTAGAGAAAAAGTAGGATGAGTACTGTGAAGTGGTGTAATATGACATAGTGTCGGGTGATGGTAGTTTGAAGTGAGAAATCAACTGCCGGTTGATAGACTTTTTTGCGTATGAGTATACGTTGCCCAGGGTGCACCACTTGGAGGTAAGTCTATCGAACATCTCGTCATGATCGTAATCTCACGTGTTACTTTCACATTTCTTAATAATGGATTTGTACTGGTTTATCATTCAAGAAGGCGGACATTGGACAAAGGGATCTTTAATACCTTTTAAATGCACAAATATGACTGGCGTCTTCATTTTTTGTCTTTGGGGTCACGAATCATTTCAACGGGTACCAATTACAATTTTTGTGGTACATCATCAAGGGCCTTATACAATATTGTGTCGAATTGCAAGGAAACTGATTGGAAGAAGTACCAACCAACCCAAACTAGAAGCTGTGATTATAACTGGTTTTAGTTATTGATAAAAGCGTTCTGCACGACCATTAGCAGGTGGATGATAGGTTGTGGTTTGGATTAGACGACTCAATTTTTGAAACAGGTCAGAAAGGAGTTGTAACTTCCTCTCTGTTGCGATTGCAGATGGAAAACCGAATATAGACGTTCAGATCCACAGATCGAGATGAAGCACCACTTAACGGAATCGTATTATTTATTTATTTATTTATTTCAAATGGCAGGCTTTATGATATTTATCATTAGCCCCTGGATGACTTCAGTTTTCCCCATAGGTGGGGAGGGGGGGGGGTACAAATATAACAGTTAATTAAAAGCAGTACATTAGATGTCTTCTGGCTTCCCAGTATCTCTGGCTTTCCGTCGTTGTCTTTAGGGATGGACACCGAATCAAGTGTGCCTTCTCTATTTTCTTCTGTAGGTTACATAGGGTGAGTGTATACTCCTAAACTGTGAACTGTTTTGCCAGGCAATCTTGTCCGGTAAGTAGTCTAAACTCAGAAACGGCTTCGATTCTTGGCCAGCCGGGTGCTGCGTAGAAAGAGAAGAGTTCAGAGTCTCCAGAGTCTCGTTCTGCTATTTTAGCAATGTGGCTTTCTCACGTTAGCTTTGTGTCAAAAGTCATTCCGAGATATGTGAACTCATTGGTTTTTCTACGGTAGTGTCCTTGTACCTTAGAAGTGCGTTCATGCTGTGATGGGCCAAAGAAAAAGTTTGGAATGCAGTTTTCGCGGTGTTGATTACCATTCCATTGTTGTCGCATCAGTTT